TCTCTCTCTCTCTCTCTCTCTCTCTCTCTCTCTCTCTCTCTCTCTGTAGTTCTTTCTGGCTGTTCTGGACCTCGCTCTGTAGGTCAGGCCGGCCTTGAACTGCCTCTGCCTCCCCAGTGCTGGGATTAAAGACATGGGCCACCACTGCCCGGCTGTTCCCACTTTTTATTGGCGAGAAAATAGGAACTCAGGAAGTTAGATGGCCATCCCATCCAAAGCGCTAAGTGGCTCTTTAGGATCCGTTTAGAGCTAAAATGTTAGTGCAGGTGCTTGCTTCTGATCACCTCTTTGACACATTAACCCAAATCGCAATCCCTTCTGTGCTTTTTGAGCGTCCCAGCCTTCGTTGAAGGAGCCCTTTCTGACTTGCTTGCTTTCTCCAGGTGTTGACTTTAAGATGAAGACCATCGAAGTAGACGGTATCAAAGTGAGGATACAGATCTGGTGAGTTGAGCCGTAGGAGGAGGCAGGTAAAGGAGAGAGGGCCCTGAGCTGTCCCTGAGTACCCCTGTCATTTGTAAAATCTCTGCCCTTCATCCGAGGTAACTGGATACCTGTATGAATAGCGAGGTCAGAAAGCCCCATCCCCTGTCCTGTGAACCTTAACCTCAACAAACCAACGGAGTGAAGAGGGCTCACCAAAGGGAAGGAAGTGGGGGGAGTTGGTAGAAAAGTGTTGTGGGCTTACCTCAGAATTGGGCTTCACTCTGGAGCTGTACCACTGCCCACTGCGGTTAAGACAGGAAGGCTGAAAGAGCCTCTCTGCTTTAGCTTGGGACTGTTTTGAGCTTGCCTCAGTACTAACTACATGGTGCAGTTTCCACTATTGGCCACCAGGGGCTGCTGCATCTCTCTGGCCTAAAGGTCTTGGAAGTCCTTACCACTATATGGCGCTACTTCGCAATCCTAGAATGCTATGAAAACTGCCTTTGGAGATGTCCTGGGCACTGGGTGTGTGACAGGTGCTCCCATCTGCTCAATCATGGCCAAAGTGACTGAGTTCTGGAGAACTGTCTAAAGCTCCGTCAGGTTGTGGGTCCTGAGAAGAGCCCCTGGGGCCTTGTCCATGGATGCCAAGGACCAGGCCTCTCACTGCAGACTAGGGTGTGTTTGGATACTCCTGGACATTAGAGCACCTCTAAGTTTTCACCCTGAAATTATGCAGCATTTCATCCTAGGGTACAGGGGCTCCTGGCTCCTGCTCCTCTCTCCTCTTCTATCTCCATGGCCTCTTCTCTGAGGGACTGTCTTTTTCTTGCAGGGACACAGCAGGGCAGGAGAGATACCAGACTATCACAAAGCAGTACTATCGGCGAGCCCAGGTGAGCCACCATTTCAGGGTCAGACCTGGGAGACTGCTACTCACACTTCCAGCACTGGGTGTTCGAGATGCCTGTGTCACTGAACCCTGATGTGGAGTCCTCAGATTGCCTGCTGGGGGACCTCAGTCTTTCCCACTAGTCGTTTGTTCTTCAACTATTCACAGACCCGCTTATTGTACCTTCTTCACTCTCGCACACAACCTTTGTTCTGCTTCCTCTACCTCATGCCAAAGAGCCTGGTCAAATCAGGCAGTGCCCAGCTAGCTAAGAGAATCTGAGGGAAAAGCAAGCAGGTCTAGATGCTGAGGTATCCTCACTGTAGGCAGGGAGAAGTGGGGAGTGGGCTGGACATACAAGGACCACCAGCCTGTACATGACCGTGCATTCTTCTGTTATGTCTCCCATCTTTGTCTCTCTCTTTCTTTTTCCCTCTCTTTCTCAGGGAATATTTTTAGTCTACGACATTAGCAGTGAACGCTCTTATCAGCACATCATGAAGTGGGTCAGTGACGTGGATGAGGTAGGAGATACTGCCTCACGGGTGGGGTGGGGGAAGGGTGCTTAGAGAAAAGCCAAACAAGGGCCGGAGGACAAAAACAAGCTCTAAGTTTCCATCAAACAAACAATCTTGCCCTTTCCAACTAGACACAGAGACCTTTGGGTAAGTCGGACAGGAAGAGCCATCACTTCCACACCCGTATGCGTTATCCCCTGCAAGGCTTCTGTGGCCATGTTTTTCCTGGAGATGCATTAGTCCTAGGACTGCCTCACGGGCGGCTTCCTTCCCAAAACCTCAGGTGGAATTGCGAGTCTGCCCTTCTAGACCTTCTGTGCACATGGTGGAGCCTTGGCCAGCCACATCAACTACTTGGGTCCCTAATCCCTCATCTGTCAAGTAAAGGCTAAATGAAGCCCAATGTAGTTCAGACATCATTCGTCCAGCCCAAAGAGGCTTCTGTTGTGGTGTCTTCTCACCTAAGATGTCCCTGTGACACCCTTCGGGGGTCAGTCAATGGTCCCCATGACACTCCATTCCCAGACTCACAGTGGAAGCTGAGCACTCACTACCAAACCCTTTCTTTATAAGCTGTTTTTCCCCCTAGTCTTGAATACCTGTGACAGAAATATATAAATTAGACCAGTAAAAAAAAAATTAACAATAATAGCAAGATGGCAACGTGCTATAATAAAAGTTACTTACGCATTGTTTACTTCTGGACTTTTGCATTTAATATTTTTAGATCAAGGCTGACTGGTGGTAATTGAAGATGAAAGGAGACAGGGCCCCTGTACTCTGGGAGCCTGTTCTGTCTGTAGGGTTCTTGAACGTGGTGGTGGAGACGGGTGGAGACGGGTGTAGGGATCTGGAAATGAAGATGAGCACTCACTTAGGCCCGCCTCCGTTTCGTCCCTAGTATGCTCCAGAAGGAGTCCAGAAGATCCTCATAGGGAACAAGGCTGACGAGGAGCAGAAACGGCAGGTGGGGAGAGAGCAAGGGCAGCAGGTAGGTGGAGTCCCGCCCTTCGGGGCTTCTGTGGTACTCGCAGGGCCTGTCCAGAGACCAGGGACCCTAAGTGCACACACAACGCAACCCCAGGGAGTTGACATTCTTGAGAGGGAGCTTGCTTTCCGGTCCTCAGGGGTCCACATGGGAGAAAAGATAAGAGCTCTGAGGCAGGGTCCAAGACACCCTAAACAGGATGGCACTGTGCTCAGAAGACCACCTCTGTGACAATGAGGAAGGAGCCATTGACCTTTTAACAGCATCTGTGCATAACTGACATTTTGTAGTTGGGGAACCATCTCCCACTCCATCCCTTCCACACCCTGACTCCACATGCCTGGAAAGGGTGGGAATGAAGGGTCCCCAGGGAGCCAAGCCAGGGGGCAGAGAGGGTTCAAGCATACTCACACACGCAGGGAGGCCACACTCCGACACAGCAGAAAGGTTAATATTCTGAGGCAAGAGTCACCCTCTTAACCCTGAGCGCCTGAGGAGTTTTCCTCTTCCTCTGTAGTCAAGAGCATTTCATTAGTCCTTAAAATAAAATTGATTTTGGGGGGGCATAAAAAAGTAACACAAGGTCATTAAAATGTGAAAATAGAGACACACCCGACAAGAGTAACGGTTTTTATTGAGCACTATGCACGTGGCGCTGTGGTAAGTGCTCTTAGCTGTGTGACCCCATCCTCCAACCCTGCGCAGACACTATCATTCTCCTTTAACGGAGGATGAAGCTGGGCCTTGGAGAGAATTAGTAGGAACTTGTTCCGCCTTTACAGCTCTTGAGTGGCAGCATGCACCTAGATTGGGTCTGTTATTCTCAAAGCCTGTTTTCTCATTTATACGCCTCATGTTGCTGTCTGTGTCCTAATGTAGTGGTGCGTGTGTGCATGTGCGTGTGCGTGTACGTGTGCGTGTACGTGTGTGTGTTTGTGTGTGTGGTGTGTGTGGTGTGGACTTGGATGAAATGGGTGCACACATGCTTCTGTGTATATGTGTGTGCTTGTGTGCATGTGTGTATGCCTGGGTGCATGTGTGTATGTGGGTACACTGTCTTCCTGTGTGTGTGTATAGACTTGGATGAAATGGGTGCATGCATGCCTCTGTGTGTGCATGTGTGTGTGTGTGTGCCTGTGTGCACGTGTGTATGCCTGGGTGCATGTGTGTATGTGTGTGTGTGTGCAGACTTAGATGAAATGGGTGAACACATGCCTGTATGTATGTGTGTGTGTGTGTGTGCGTGTGTGCAGACTTAACTGAAATGGATGAACGCATGCCTCTGTGTGTGTGTGTGTGTG